CTAATATGGAAATACACATGACTTCACATGTATAATGGATATCAATCATACTGCTTGTCTTGTCAACGGGTAGGGAAGAGGCTGGAGAGAATTTGGAACTCAACATTTTAAAAAAAGAATGTTAAAAAATAAACTTTTTTTAAAATAAATATACTACTCCCCTTTACATACTCCTGGTCTAGCCAAACTGGCCTTAGTATTATTATTATTATATTATTATTATTATTATTACTCACCTTCCATTCCCCACCTCCATGCCTTTGCACACTATCCCTATTAGGATCCCTAGTTTCCTTTAGAGTTCAGCAAAAGCATGACTTCCAACAATCTCATCCCAATTGCTAGTACTTAACTCCACCAAAAAAAATTGCCTTGTAACAATTATTTTGTAGATACTTATGTGTTTCCAGTTTTCTCTCCCCCAACAGAATCTAGGCTTTTCAAAGAGAGTGACTATTTCATTTCTTTGTATTCCAAATGCCTGGAGAACATAAGAAGACTGACTGGCAGGTTCTCTAGCTGGAAAGACCCCTGAATACAAGTCCAGCAACAAAACTGACATTATGGATCTACTGGTCTTGTCATCAGCAGAGCTAAGTTTGGAAAGACTCATCAAAAAGATTGATACCTAGCGATCAATTTTTCTGGCTATAACAAATTACGACTGAGTAGAGAGGATGAGATCCACGTTAGCATAGGGCAGGGCTTCTTAAACTGCAAGTCTCAACTCCAAACCCACAGTTTAAGAAGCTCGGGGAACACCTATAATAATAAAATCTTGACTCCTTTAAAATAGGGAGAAATCTGGAAGCCTTCATGCAAGAGGAAGCATTTGACTTGAACCTAATATTTCATATTAGAATGACAGAATCTTAGAGCTAGAAGAACAAGTAATCATCTAGTCCAACCCTTTCAATTCACAAAGAAGGGGACTGACTGATCTGTTTAAGACTCAAAAGCAAATTAGTTGCAAAGCCAGGACTAACATCAAGGGTTAAGACTCCCAGGCCAGTCTTCTTTCTACAACACTATGCTATCATCCTAAACAAAGAAACTTTATCTTACTAACCTTTAAGGAATAGGTACCTTGCCCATAGTAGGTGCTCAATAAATGCTTATTAAAATTGTGGGCTCCTTCGGGGAGGGCTAATGTCATTTTATCTTTACATGCCCAGCACCAAACAACATTGCACACAGTAGGCGTTGAATGAATGCTTGTTCAATCACCTTGAATTAAAAGCACGAACATATGAGACACTGGCAGCTAAGTAGTGCAGTGGATAGAGTGACAGTCCTGGAGTCAGGAAGACTCAACTTCCTGAGTTCAAATTTGGCCCTAGATACTTACTAGTTGTGTGATTCTGTGCAAGTCACTTAACCCTGTTTGCCTCAGTTTCCTCATCTGTAAAATGAGCTGGAGAAGGAAATGGCAAACTACTCCAGTATCTTTGCCAAGAAAACTTCAAATGAGGTCACAAAGAGTCAGACATGACTAAAAAAATGACTGAACAAAAAACAAAAAATGAGACATGTTTGGGGGATACCAAATCTTTCTGTATGGTTAAAGAAACAGCAGAAAAGATCAGAAACACAGGCTGAGGACAGATGGAGGACCTTGAACGCCAAAGCAAAGAGCTGAAACACAGCCCCTTTGGTAAAGTTAGGGTATCACCTTCCATACTTCTGGAGTACATTGTATATGTTTCCAAAAGCAAAAATGCAAGATCCTATGTGATCAAAGAGTTAATTCAAAAGCCATATGAGAAAAGGCTTGATTTATAGCCGACGTTCTCTCAAGCCCTATTCTGAGGGGGAATTATAATCTAGCCAGGAACACTACTAAGGCCACATTAAAAAATATCCTCTCAAAGCACCCTTCGGTGGAGGCTAACTAGTACCCCATAACCGTCTACTTGTTATGTTCTAGATCAGTGACTCTCAAACTTTTTGGTCTCAGGATCCCTTTACACTCTTATCAATATTTACCATATTAGAAATTAAAGTATATTAATAATATTATAAAAATTGTTTTGACCTTGATGATCCCCTGAAAGGGTCTTGGGGATACCCTCCCCCCAACCTTAAACCACACTTTGAGAACCACTGCAATCAATAACCCTACAAACGGAAGAAGAGGTCCAGGTATTACATTCTGATAAAGCCAATGAAAGCATTCATCAAACATCCAGCAGGCAATCCTCCACCCGAAGCACAACACAAACCACTAAAGGGCGGGAAGAGTGTCAGAAAAGGCAGGATTTTCAGTTAATGCTGACTTAGGTCAGCCTGAAAACAAGGCCACGTGTGAGAAAAATCTGATGCCTCAACCACTGAGACCCAACTGTCTGTAGCTGGGAGCCCTAAAATATGGGACTGTGTAGAAATGATTATTCACTGTGCTCCAAAGGGCATGCATAGGGAGTCATCCACTAAGCATGAAGCACTTACCACCCACCCATCTCTCTCCCCAGGCCCCGCCCAAAGGCAACAAGCAGAAGAGTGAGGCTGGCGTGGCAGGAAGCAGAAAATGGTAAACAGGGACAGTGGAGGGAATGTGGCCTCTTCATTCACTGGCATCAAGGGACATCCCTCCCTCTTTCCTTCAGCTTGGAAATCACTCAAGTGATCTGCTCCCAAAAGTGGCTGAAATGTTTGTTAAGTGTGCTGAAAACCGCAGCAGCAGCAGCAACTGACTAGAACAGAAAGATAGATGGCAGTGCAGGTCAGACAGAAGACCTGGGAGAAAAGGGGCCAGAAACAGGTCCTTTTTTTTTCACACTGAGCTTCAAGGAGCTAAAAGGTCCAATTATGCTGCTCAACAGAGAGTGACCCAACTGTAGATTCGGTTGCTTGACACTCCTTCCCCACTGCAACAGAAACAATCAACCACAATAACAAAATGAGACACTGCCTTCCCCTATAAATTCGAAGGGGTGTGTGTGCAGAGGTGGGAAAGGGGTCAGGGCAGATCATGAGACAGATCATAAGGGCTGTAAAGAGACCTTACAAATCATCTAGCCCAACACCTTCATTTAAAGACGAGGAAATTCAAGTCTACAGAGGGGAAATGACTTGCCCAAAGAGGCGTGAAGTCTTACCAACTAGACAGGACTGAAACCCCTTTATCCCCCTCAGGTAAGAAACAGAGGGACTGTCCTATGGATAAGAGATTTTTTGGGTAGAACATGGAAGAAGGGGAGAGGGTAACAAATGAGTCTGGTATGAACACTGAAGTTCGTGGGGAAGTGCCCCAATGTGCACCTCATGAGAGTGGAAAAGGCAGGTCCCACTGGTATCCCCACAGGGACTCAGCAGCAGAAAAGAAAAGGAAAAAAAATATTTCAGGAAAAGGCCAAAGGGATGATACTCAAGAAAAAGTTTGAGAGAAAAATCCAACTTCCAGGCACTAAGATAGTACTGTTGCAGTTGGGAGGGTAGGGGGTGGAAAAAGGATAAAATAGTAAGAATTGCTCACATTTTGTAGCACTTTGTTTCAATGTACTATGTATGTGTGTGTGTATATATATGTGTGTGTGTATATATATGTGTGTGCATATGTGTATGCATATGCATACATGTGTATATTATATATGCATGTGTGTATACACATATGTATACGTGTGTGTATGTATATGGAGGTATATATAAATTTGATACAATGCTGTGAAATGTGCCATGGATGCTATTATTATCCTCATTTTACAGACAGGAAAACTGAGGGATTAAATGATTCGTGCCAAGGTCACAAAGCTCATTTCTATGAGGCAGGATAGCCTAGGTTTCTCCATCTTTGAGTCCATTATTTACCCTCTATGTTATGCTGTTAATCAACAAAAATAGAGAGAGGGAGATGAGATAGTAAAGGGAAAAGGGAAAGGGGAAAAGGAATAGGAAAAGAAAGAAAGAAGACAGGGAGAGAAAGCTCTAGCCTACGAGTAGGTATGAAGAAAAAGGATGGGGGAGGGGGGAAAGCTCAGGAAACATCAGCTAACCAGAAACTGGTTTCGGTTTTTTGTTTTGTTTTGGTTTTTTGCTATAAGCGAGATATACCAACAAGTGGGGTATGGGGGTATGGGTGGTAGGATGAGGCAAAGGGGGAGGGGACTGGAAGATGGGAAGGAAAGCGTACCCTAGGGCAATAAACTGACGAGGCTGTTACGTCTGGGAAGGGCCAGGTTAAGAGAATGGGGGAGGATGCGCTAGAAGGAGGAATGACAGCAGAGACCAGGGGCCAGGGGGACAGATAAGGTCCCACTGGTGGAAGGGGAAAGGGGGGAGGGGGAGAGTGACAAGAATGGCGAAGCCATAGGGCCTTAGATATCCGAAGAGGGAGAAGGTATGTAAGGAGATGAAAGGGAGAGGAAATGAGTCATTGGAGGATTGGGGAAGGGGTTTTCAAGCGGCTGGTCAAAGGGACAGAGAGAGGAGGTGGTTCAGGATTTGAGGAAGGGGGGAGACAAAAGGATCGAGGAGGAGGACTGGGAAAAAAGAATCCAAGGGGGAGGCGGGAGTGGGGGAGGGGATAGGTGTGTCTAGACTAGAGGATGAAAGATGAGGGAGAGGAATGTTGGGGGAAGGGAGAGTAAAGAGAAGAGACAATGGAAGGCAATGTCGGAGAGGGGAGCTGGGGGGATGTGAGAGGAGGAAGGGGATGGGGGTAACAATGAGAGGGACGGAGGAGGGGACCAGCGACGACGGAGGTGGGTAAAAATAGGGGAAGGAGGAGGACGGGGTGAAAATGGGGAAGGGGAAACGAGGAAAGGGGGAAGGGTGGGGTGTAAAGGAAGGGCGGGTGTGGGGGAGGGGCGACAATGAGAGGAGGGGGAGGGTGGGGGAGGGGCGACAATGGGCTAGGGGAGGGACCCGAGGCAGCGCCGGCCCGATCTGGGGGCTCTGACCTCAGCGGCACCTGCCCTGGCTCCCGAGCACGGGTCCGAGCCATCCCCGCGGGCAGGGCGCCATTTTGTGGGACAAGAATGGGTTCGGGGAGAGGAACCTACCATCTTCCTCTGCCTCTTCCTCAGCCGCCGCCGCCGCCACCGCCCCCACCGCCGCCGCAGAACAACTTCCAGCTCGACGCTGCCCAACGTGACGCTGCCGTCACCGATTGGTCCGGGTTACCCCGCCCCGGAGGCTTGAGGACGTTTAGCCCATTCCCATTGGCTAATACCGAAACTACTCCATTCTTATTGGCTGAAATGGAGAGCCCGCCCACCCTACACACTGTCGTGCTTGGTTGAAGGCGCAAAAAACCCCGCCCAGGAGTTTGAGGCAGCAGGATTCCGGAAATGGATGGGGGGGTTGGGAGGAGAGAAAGACCGAGGCTCGCTTTCGAGCCTCATGGGAGTTGTAGTTGAACACCAGAGATGTATGCTTCTGGGGAGGTTTCATTGCATGGTGTCATATAGCAGCTAAATCAAACAATAAATCCACAAGCATTTATTACGTGCTTATGTGCCAGGCACTGATACACAAAGCCAGTGAAACAGTCCTTGTCTTCAAAGAGCTTACCTTATTTTGGGAGAAAAAAATACAAAATATTTACCAGATTTTACAAGGTGATGGGAAAGGATAGGAACTAGAAACTAGATGTGAACGGGAATGAGGAAAGGCTTCCTGCGGAAGGCAAGGCGGCTCCTGAGCCGAGTCTGGAAGGAAGCGAGAAGCCTGAGGTGGGGAGGAGTGCACTCTAGGAAGGGGGCGACCACCGCCAGTGTGAAGGACTGGCTGTGATTTGCTGGTATGAGGAAGAGTAAAAAGACCAATTTGGCTGGACTTAGTGAATCAATCAGTTACAGAAATTGATTAAAGCTTACTATGTGCCAAGCACTGGGGATACAATAACCTAGCTCCACCGTGCCTTCCCAGGCACCTTATCCCCTCCACCTACTCTGCCATCCAGTGACAATGGACTCCTTGCTGGTGCTGGACACGAAGAAAAAGCACAACCAGAATGCTTACACTCTAATGGAGTGAATGTATGGAGGAGACAACATATACATAAACAAGTATACGGAGAATCATATGCAGAGTAGATACAAGGTAACCTTAAAAGAGAAGGCAGTCCTTCTGCAAAGGGCAGCATTAAAGCTGTGTCTAAGGAAGCCAAGGATTCTAAGAGTCCAAAGGTCAAAGGAGGGAGCACATTCCAGGCATGAAGAGATGCTGGTACAAAGATAGAAAGGGAGCGGCTAGGTGGCACAGTGGATAGAGTGCTGGCCCTGAAGTCAGGAGAACCTGAGTTCAAAACCATCCTCAGACCAAACACTTAATTATTAGCTGTGTGACCCTGGGCAAGTCACTTAACCCCAATTGCCTAAAAAAAAAAAAAGACAGAGAGATGGGAAATAGAGTCTTGTGGTGAAGAATGAATAAGCCAGTATTGCTGTAATGTAGAGTGCATGGAGGTTTGGAATTAGTAAAAAGACAGGAAGGACAATAGGGAGCAGCTGGTGAAGAGCCCTAAATGCTAAGCACAACTGGTTCTTCAGCCAGGTTAAGGCTCTGTCCTGAGCCCTCTTCTCTTCTAGACTATTTCACTTGGTGATCTCAGCAGCTCTGATGGTTTCAATGATCATCTTTCTGCAAATGACTCAAATCTACTTGTTAAGCCTTAATTAACCTCTCTCCTCACCTCTAAGAGAGATCTCACATCTCCAGCTGCCTACCGAATATCTCAATCTAGATGTCCCATAGATATCTTAAACTAAACATGTCCAAAATGGAACCATCTTTACCCAAAAAATTCTCCCCTCTTCCTAACTTCCCTATTACTGTTGAGGATACCAGCATCCTCCCAGTCACCCAGGCTTGTGTTATCCTTGACTCCTCATTTTCTCAAGTCTCATCATTTCTACCTTATTAGTATATGTATGTATGTATGTATGTATAGAATCATATATCTCCCCATCTCTCCTCTGACCCTGCCACTAGCCTGGTGCAGGCGCTCATCACCTTACACCTGGACTGTTTCAATAGCCTGCTGGTTGGTCCCCCTTTGTCTTCCCTCCCCTTCCAGGTCATCCTCCACTCCAATGTCAAATTGATTTTCCTAAAGTGCAGTTCAGTCACCAACAAGCATTAATTAAATGTTTAATAGAAATGCATATGTAGTAATGTAGAGCCTATATTAGACTGCACACCATCTTGGGGAGGGAGGAGGAGAAAATTTAAAACTGAAAAGCTTATAGAAGTGATTATTGAAAACTAAAAATTAATTAATTTAAAAATTTTAAAAAAAGCATTGTGTCCCCTACAAGCCAGGCATTGCTAAGTGCTGAGCACTGGGGATACAAAGAAAGGCAAAGGACAGCCCCTGCCCTTGAGGAGCTCACAATCTAATGAGGGAGACTACATGCGAAGAACTATGTACTAACAGGCTATATGCAGGATAAATAGGAAATAATTAATAGAAGAAAGGCATTAGAATTAAGAGGCTTCCTGTAGAAGGTGAGATTTTAGTTAGGACTTAAAGTAAGTCAGAGAGGTCCGTAGCCTGAGGGGAGGAGGGAGAGAATTCTAGCACGGGGACAGCCAATAAAAATGCCCAGAGCCAAAAGATAAGAGTATATTTTGCTTTTTCTTTTTTTTTAAACTAGAAAATAATAATAATAATAGTAAATGTCTTACTGTTGGGAGAAAAGCATGGTAAAGTCCTCTTAGGAGATCTTTGTGAAGTTCCTTGGGATGGGCCCTGCTGACATTGGGTATTGGGTATTAGGTATTGTGAAACTCAGCAGCTCTGCCATTTGAGGAACTAGGGCCTCTCCCACCCAAAGTACAGAAATGAAACTTTTGAATAATAAGTGGGTGTCATTTAGGATCATTCGGAAACTCATATAATTGTATCTTTTAATGCTATTACTTTGAACCAACTATTCACCGCATATGATCTTGTGGTGAAGAAGTGGAAACAACAGTACAATGCTAACCAGGTCTTTTGGGTCTGGGTGACTGAGACAGGTAAGGCACTCTTCCCCAGGTAGGCTTTTTTAGTTCATAAGAGGGGATTGTGACACACATGGGATAATAGATTTAATTAAGTAAGAGTGGGTTACTCCAGACAACACCCCAGTGGCAACTTGAATGACAGCCACTTGTCCAACTTAGGTAGCTTTTAATCAGCTGGCCTCTCAAGTCACATCCACTGGTGGCCATCTGCTAACTTGTACCCCTCTTTGAGTACTTACAGGGAAAAAAATATTATTATTGTGCCCATCAATGAACTATTTGCCTACATGGACTCTGCTGGGGATATCTCCCCTCATTCTCAGCTCAACGTATTCTAGAAATGGTCTGACATTCTCCCTCTGGGCTTCTCTGCAGACCAGGGAGGGGTATGATAGTTGTGAATAGATGAAATTTGTGAATAGCTGAAAAATTCTAGATGATATTTTGAGGCTAATGTATGAAAAAAATAACAATTTTCTAGCACTAAGCTATAAGTACTGAAATTCTGCTATCTGAGGAAGAGTCTCTTAGAACTTCAATTTGCTGCTATTCTAAATCTTGAATCCGAGTCTAAGTGTCCTACCCTGCATAAGGCTGCTGGTTCATCATTCAAAGGAAATGCCATGTGCCCCTGAAGTCTGAGGACTGCCATAGGGAGGATGCCTGTCCCTGGAAAAGCCAAGAGAATGACTTTTTGAAGGTGAAGGTAGGATTCTCTTGACCTATCCCCATCTTGGTAAATAAGATATTTTCCCACCTTGTTAATTCTGAAACTGGCTATGACATCCTGTCATACGATTTGCTGCCTATGATTCACACCTGAAATCAAACAGAACTAATGCCATTATGTGTCTGCCTTTCTCCTCACATAGCAAATCCCACTGATGAGGGCAAATGTAAAAGAATACGAACCCTACTGGTGATTTTTTATTAAGTAATATATATTAGTAAGGGGTCATTTTGAATTGTCATTTGAATCAGATAATAAGAGACCATGAAGCCTTACAATTAGTGGATTCGTTTATGAGAAATCACCTTATAACATCCTTTCATTATGATAATATGATTGGTAGGAGAAGTCACAGTGAAAAATGTGACACAATTTTCAAAACTGGATTAAGAATTTTACATGTAAATTTTTTGAAACATTTAATAATATTGAGAATAAAAACTCATTTTCCAATTCATACCATCATGATGCAACAATTAAAATTCTCTAAAGTTTCAGGTGAATTGTGTATTTTTAATATACTAATTCTTCATATAGTTCTATTTCATATTGAGTGTGTGTCAAGAAGATCTAGAAGGAAGAAGCTCCTTCAAAGCTAACCTGAGAACATGGCTTGTTTTAGAAATATAAAATTAAATACTTTGAACTTTTTTCATCTACATCAAGGATATGTGATCCTTAACAACTGAATCCACCTATAGCTATGATGCTATGATTATTGGAACTTGCTGTTAAACCTCATGGGACTGTAACTGATATTATTCTGAGTCTGATTACAGGTATGATCACCAAGGAATCCTATTAGGCCAATGATCCATGATGCTAGTAACCCTCTGGGATTGACAGCCATGAATTACAGGTGGAGTGCTCATGGGGAAGGCTGGGAGAATGACTCTTGGCATGAGCTGAGGTAGTAGCATCCTGACTTGATTTCCCCAAAATAACATTTCCTCTTGAATGGAAAATATCCTGCTTTTTAAGCCTGGCTCAATAAAATTGGCTACCTATATGACTCTAACCTGGAATTGACATGAAATTAAGGAAGCATTTCCCCTTAATGTCCCTATTTTCTTTGTATGGCAAATTTCTGTAATCATTGCAGGTTATCAGTATAAATACAATATTAAATCCTTATTTCATAAATTAGTACTGGAGGGGCATCTAGGTGGCGCAGTAGATAGAGCACCAGCCCTGAAGTCAGGAGGATCTGAGTTCAAATCCAGCCTCAGACCAAACACATGACACTTACTAGCCGTGTGACCCTGGGCAAGTCACTTAACCCCAATTGCCTAAAAAATAAAATAAAATAAAATAGTACTAGAGATAAAAGGTGGAGCCAAGATGGTGGAGAAAAGGAAGTGATTTTCCTGAGCTCTCCCCAAACCCCTCTGAACACCTTTAAATAATGTCAGAA